AGATCGGTAATCCTATTTTTCTGTTCGGTTTCTAACAGTAGTCTTGGAAGGAGGGACAGTCTTCTCGACCAAAATGCGATTGAAGGCTGGAATCAAACGCTTCGCTTTTAAATTATCATTTTTTATAATTATAATTTTTCTGTGATAATGATGTGTAATTTCTAAAAATTTAATTTTTATTTTTTAATTATTTTTTATTTGCCACGTCACACATTTAACGGTCAACTGTCAGAGTTGACCGCCACGTCAGTCAAAGTTAACGGAGGTTAACGGAGAGTGACCGAACTTGAACTGTTCAACTAATTCGAGTGACTATAAATGGAATAAATCATTTTGAGTGGCAAACGTGAAATTTTATAGCAATTCGAGTGACCAAACTTGCAATTAAGCCATTTATAAAGCTTTTCCAAAGGGTTAAAGACACATTTGGTCACTGAGTTTACAAAATCGGGACATGTTTAGTCACTGGAAAAAGTTAATATCAAATTTGGTCACTACAATTACTAAAATAGGTCATATTGAGTCACTCTCCGTTAGTCTCCGTCCAACTCCGTTAGTGGAGTCCGTTAAGTGCTGACGTGGCTAACGGATGCGCCTAGTCAGCATCGTTTTGACCCAAAAATCATCATACCCGACCCGCCACGTCAATTTCACCCGCCATGTCATACACCAACCCAACCATTAACCCAACCCGACCCAAAACCAAACTCTGACCCACCTAACAAAAAAAAAAAAAAAAAAGGAAAATCATCTGGTTAGTGGCCATTTTCAGACCAAAACCCTTCTGAAAGAATACCCAAAACCATTCGAACAAACACAGTGAATCTGAATCCGCCAAAACATCGAACCAAAACGAAGTAGCCAAACAACCAAATAATCTGCCCTAGCGATTCTGAATCCACCAAATACGAACAAAAACGAAGTTCCTACAAGCGACAGAAGCAAACCAAGAGAAAGAAAATCAAATTCCCCTAGAAATTAAATTGAGGGAGAGTACCGGAGCATCGACAAAGGGCTTCAAACACAGATTCCACGCCGGAGAAGAGGAGGAGATGCACTAGAAAAGCTTCAACCGGGTCGATTCGTCGTTCAGAGATTGAGGAGACACGAGGGAGCGGATTCGTGATGGAGGTATTCTTGGCCGAACACTCATCCCATCTCGGGTTTCATGACAAAACCGGCGGCGAAAGAGCTTCGAACTCCTCCGTTGTCGACTGAGGCCTAGGGTTTTTTCTCGACGTAGTTGGGAGGAGAATGAGGGGCGTAGGATGAAATTCGAACGCGCGATGGGGAAAGCTGACTCCGGCGCGCCCTGGGGGAAGACGACGACGGAGCACGACGAAGGTGGATTTGAGGGTTTCGCCTTCTACTGCGATGGCGGAAACCGACAGCGCGCGGCGACGAAGAAGAAGAAGAAGAAGAACAAGAAGAAGAAGAAGAAATGCAAAATGGAAGGAGGATCTTGGGCAAGGGGGTAGCGTGGAGCTCTTCATCTCTCCCTAGAGTTCGATTGAAAATGGCTGAATCTAGAGGAAGGAGAAGGTTTGCGAGGAAGGAGAAGGGTTTTGGTCTGAAAATGGCCACTAAGCAGATGATTTTCCTTTTTTTTTTGTTAGGTGGGTTAGAGTTTGGTTTTGGGTCGGGTTGGGTTAATGGTTGGGTTGGTGTATGACATGGCGGGTGAAATTGACGTGGCGGGTCGGGTATGATGATTTTTGGGTCAAAACAATGCTGACTAGGCGCATCCGTTAGCCACGTCAGCACTTAACGGACTCCACTAACGGAGTTGGACGGAGACTAACGGAGAGTGACTCAATATGACCTATTTTAGTAATTGTAGTGACCAAATTTGATATTAACTTTTTCCAGTGACTAAACATGTCCCGATTTTGTAAACTCAGTGACCAAATGTGTCTTTAACCCCTTTTCCAAATATCTAGCAAATGGCTGACTCTAACTTTCTCCGGTCAGCGTGCTTACATCTAGAGACTGAAGCTCTTTCAGCAATCATTTGCTCTTCAAGCTTTCTTGCAATGGCGATGCACAAAGCAACTCAGCTGAGTGACTTGCAGCAAACTAACCGCATTCACGCTAGCTGAGGTTTTCATCCAAATCTCGCTCTTTGTCTACGGTTTCTTCCCCGTCAAACCGGCCCTCTCCGGCATCAGGTTCATTCTCTTGGAAAGCTCACCTTCTCCGCTTGCTATATGCTAGTTTTATTGTAATTAAAGCGTCTAGCACTCATTTGTTTTCCCCCGATTTGCCTTTCCAGTGGCCTGGAGAGTTTCTATTCGCCGGGTGAGAATGGGAGTGAAAGACAGACCAATTTATCAGGTGCTTTTTCTTCTTCGTCTGTTGGCAAATGTCAGATGTGCTTTTGTTGCTGTTCTGTGCAATTTTAGGAATGCTAAAGACTAAAGCTCATTATGTTATCAGTGAACGTTGATCATGCTGGTGATCCGAAATTAATTCGGAGATGTGTAATTTATTCAAAATGTTACAGATAACCTAATCGATCCCACTATTAAATCAGTACCGGTGCAGATGGTTTCTTTGCTCTGTGGCATTTCTTGTCTATAAGGTGGTAATGGTGGGTGTCTGTTGTGTGTAGGAGCTCTCCGGGATCTCTCCTGCTCTTGACAGGCTAATTATCATAGTATGGACAACTTCCTAGTAGGAATGGCAATTTACCCACCCATGGGTAATTTTGCCCAAACCCAAGTAGACCCATCTATTATGGGTAGGGTTTGGGTGATGTGTGTATGGGTTTGGGGTTTGTATATGGGTTTGGGTTAGATATGGATATTATCTAAATGGGTATGGGTTGGATATGGATATCCATTTACTTGAGTGTGTCTTAACTACACATGCAAAAATTGGACTTATTTGTAAAACTTGAAAATTTTAGGTACCAAAATGTAAGACCGAAAAAATTTAGGTATCAAAACGTAATTTTCCATCGATATTTTGAGGACTTATATGCAAAAAAAATTAAATTTAGGTACTAAATATGCATATCTATTAAGTTTAGGTACCAAACTGTAATTTGTATTTGGGCATGGGTACAAACCCAAATCCATTTGTTATAAACCCAATCCAACCCAAAGTAAATGGGTATGGGTACAAACCCATCAAACTTTACCCATATCCATATATTTGGATTTCATACCCAACCCAATTGGGTTGGATAGTAAAATACCCATGGGTATGGGCATAATTGCCATCCCTACTTCCTAGTAGGGTTACTGTTCATGCTATGTGTACAAAAAAGAGCTTCAGTTTGTCATGTGCAAGTACAACAGAGTCAGTTTAGGTGATTGACGGTCTTCTTGCAGAATTTGCGCTTGGCAAGGATGGCGTAAAGGTAGTTATTAGTGTCTACTTTCCAAGCGCAAATTCCAGCAGAATTCCACGTAAAGGTCTGATGGAAGCTATGCCATATACCCCTTCATTGTTATCTACTGGAAGAGCAATTGGCTACAATGCTTCGGTTAAAGGTAGTTATTAGTGTCTACTTTCACAAACTATGCACAGAGGTGTACATCCTGTGGAAGTCTTTCAATTCTTATCAATTTGTAAGTGTGAAATTGCAGGCGATGGTTTCTGGCGCAATAGGGGGATTTTTGGATGTGGCTTTCAGTTTTAATACTTAGGCTCTGTTAGATGACAATCTCCTCGGTTAGTAGTTTGAACTATTGCCATGATAATCTGATTAGTGACTTTGATAGGTTCACTTTCCTCCTAGGTTTTGCTGAATCTTAAGACTTTAAGTTCCTGATGAATAGATCTCTTGCAGGCCAGTTTTTCAAAATTGGTGGGAAGATGGTGATGCTAGGAGATGACACTTGGCTTAGACTGTTTCCAGGTTTATTTTGGAGACATGACGGAGTTAACAGCTTTTAGCCTTTTACGTTAGTTAGTTTGTTATGAGTTTCTTGTCCTTCAGTTACTTGCGCGTATAAAGGATCTTGTTGAAGATAAATATATAAAAAAATTGTTATGCGTATTTAATTATTTATTGTGTTCACTATGATAATATGTCTGTTTATTCCCCTATGTTTTCTGCTCTTTCAGTTTCATAACTTTTGTTTGTGATAATGAATCTTGTGTCTTCATTTGTTTAGATCTACTGAAAAAACCTGAGATTGCACAATCTCTGTAGTGTGTCTTATGTCTGGGTTGACTTCGACAGACCTGTTAGGCTTACATGCAAAGGATTTGAAATTTATTTGTCTGTTTTAATTTTTTCCTTCCTCAGATAAGAGAAACTGTACAAGTAGACTTCAATGTTTCTAGGCATCTGGAAAAGGAACTTAGCCAAGATGATTTGGAATCTTCGGGTGAGTCCTTTGAATGAGTCTGATTTGTATATGAGGCACCGAAGAACTTGGTTGAGTTTCTCTCGCGCTGGGTTTCTTCAATTTTGTGTTCATTATATTTTAGTTTCTTCTAATTGTCCATAGAGCTACTTTCATTGAAGAATCTATCGCATTACCCTTTTAGCTTTTTGTACTTTTTCTGTTTTTTTTTCTGTTTTCATTCTGACTTGGAACTCTTTCACATGGTTTATTTACTCAATAATAAATTTAGCTGTATATTATATGCAGAGTTGTTTCGCTGGATAATTAGCAATTGGATTTTCCTATCATGGCATGGATCATGTTGGACACATTGGAGCATAGCAGGTTCTAGCTTCATTTCAGATAATAATAAAATTTGATTGATTGAAAATGTTGGTTTGCATTTATTGAATATCTTATGTCTTGCAACAATGGATGAAGTGGTGGAGATGATTCATTCACATGCCATACAACCTCAAGGAGATGATTATGAACGGACACTTTTGGTCTGCCATGTCCCTTACTCATAATAAATTAACGATGCTTAGTTTATAATTTATTGAGTATCATAGGGAAACTTTTGTTTTGTGAGCTTATGGAGATTGTCCATGGATAATGAATCGGGATGATTACCAAGCTAGATTTTTTGACGTTTTGTATTATCAAAGTTCTCCTCATAATCATTTCTTCTTGAGTCATAGAGTTCAAATTAGATGTTGATTATTTTTCCAATTGATGAATTTGATTGTTTTTAGTCTGAACAAGTTTTTTAAAGTGGAAATAACTGGCAAGTTTGTATTTCAAATTCTCAATGGCTATTAATTTAATAATCTGCCATTCTTCTGTAGCCAAATAGTTTGCTGATCGCTATGGCCTATGGATATGTGGACGACCTACACATTGTTGTCCTCCTTTCTGAATACTCAGAATCTCTGCATTTGCATTCTTTTTTAATATGTGATGGATTTTATGTATGTAGCTGGTGGTTAGTGATGGTGTGACTGAAGGTGGGAATCACGGAGGTTCTTCATATGAGGAAAATGACTCCTTAGTGCTTTTCCATTGGTCTTCAAAATGAAATCACCGACCAGGCATCAGTCAGTTCCATACACCAGATAATTTTACAGAATCACTGAATCAATCCTCAGACTCCTTTCCTCCTTTGAAAGCCTTTTCTTTGTTAGTTTAAAATTGCTAGCTTAATTGTGCATGTGCTAATTTTGAGTCCCCCTTTCAAGATCAAGTGACTTGAGTTTTTTAATCATGTCTGAAGTATTTTGGTGTCCCTTTTTTACTCTTGTTTGTTGCCTTTGTTTACTGCTTTTGTTATCTCTCTTCTGTACCAATGGTTAAGTCTGTTGTTCAATGTATTCCCTCATATACAGGGTAATCAAACTATTCATTCTGCGCAGAATTGAAAACCTTTCCAATCGTACGATCTCACAAATCACAGGAAAAATGTTATTAACTATTAATTACAGCTTTGTGCTCTCCCTTCTGTACCAATTTTGAGGTTTACTTTAAGTCTGTTGCTCTAAGTGTTACTTCAGATGCAAGGTAATGAAACTATAGATCCTTGGCGGAATCTAAACCTTAATCGTATACTTCAACCCTAGAGATGACTAGAGTTGTGCCTGTGTGCACAGGTTGATCTTACTCCAACACTTGGCTCTTCAATTTAGTCTACCAATTCCCAAAAACAATGTTGGAATCCTGATTGCTGAAACATTTGATTCTCTTCCAGGTTAGTTCTTTGAGTGTGCATATTAAATATCAGAGATAGAAAATGCGTAGGTTGTTTCCAAGACGCTAGTGGATATCTGTATCAAAGTTCTATGACAGAAAATGCTACCTATCATTCATTTGTTGGCTTCTTGACTTTGACACATTAACTGACACTAGCTGTTCAAAATTAACTTATTCCATTGATGTTTATCTAATTTGACATATATCGTTTCTGTTTCATGGAACAGAAGACAAAAGGCTGAGAGCTCTGCAGTTGAATTCGTGGCAACTGCTGAGATTGTTCCGACACAATTACCAGCATTCTCATGTGGAGGCTCACAAGACATTGGCTTGTCTGACATGTTAGGTCAACAAATGGAGAATGCAGTGGTAGTATTGAGAGGACTCTTTGTTGCTTGTACGCAAAAGCTAAAAGTCTTAGTAATTCCAGGGAATCCATGAGTGGCTCCAGGTAGGTTTAGTAACATGAGACATCATGTGATACAATTTTCATATTCATGAATCAATATTCAGCTCGTAATGTTTTCTTTATACTGTTAGTTATTATTAATTTAAGTAACATCAACTGTTTGTAGACTTGATATTCATGATTTATCTACATAGGTCCAAGGGCAAGAATGATTACAAGGTCGTTGCTGCTGCATATAGTGATTTCTTGAATACTGCAAGTGAGTGGTTATCAGGCAGAGTAACCCATGTATGTATGATTATTTGATCTACACAATATATTATGCACTTCACTCTATATCATTGTTGTCACCTTGCACCTTGATTGGTTCTCCTTATTTGGTGGAAGGGCAACTTTGACAATTTTTCAAACACTCGAGGGTCACTCATTATTATTGGACTTTTGGTTTTCTTTTTAGCAAATGCGATTAGGATTAAGGAAAAAAGAAGATTTGTTTTAAGGTAAATGCTACATAATAATTATTTGAATTTTGCTATGTGTAGATTTATTTTGTGTGGTTAAGGAAAAAACAGAGGCTATCTAAAGTTGTTTAACTCCTAAATGAGACAATGTTTGCGAATTGGATTTTGAGATGATAAAGATGATATATCGTTGTGGCGTGGATGTTTGGGAAGAGGTTCCTTCGGAATAGGTTTTTTTCGCATTAGGGTTCTACGTTAAACAGATAAACCAAGCATCAGCCTTCAAAAGTTTTAGAATCTTAATTTCACAGTGTTTTCGGCAAACATGAAGAGGAAGAAAGACGGGAAATCTTGGCAAAATACAATCAATTTATATTGTTTTAAATTCTTTTAATTTCAAATTAGCATGTCTAATTTTTACATTAAATTTTGAAAGGTAAGATCGCATGTTTAGTCATTGGTTAAACAATAATTCGATTCATATCGTACCGACTCGATATTTGTGTCGAATTAGATCAAACAAAAAAAATCAATTTTTTTACTCTATGTAATTGCTTAAAGTCGAGATAGTTTTTATTAGAAAATTATTAAACGTAAAATATGGTCCAATGGAATAACTTAAATGCCTCTTCAACCTAACTACGTTGTTATTTACATCTGAATAGTTCCATTAATGATTAAAAAATAGTTGTATAATGATAAACCATTAATCATGAGTCATTGAAATTTTTCATCCGACAACCGCTCCGCTTTTGAAAATATAGGACATAGTCAATAAAATATTTAAAAATATGAGCATATTGTTAAAGGTTAAGTTTGAATTATGATAATTAAAGTTCAAATGATTGAATAACTTAAAAAGGTCATTTCAAGTCAAAATATTCTTTTGCTAATATTTTTCATTTTTGTCTCTTTCAAAAATATAAATTTAATACATCTATACTGATATTTTTGGATTTGCTTTACATAATTGTCCAAATAATCTATTTCCATATCACATTTTTTTCTCCTCGAATTTTTGTATCTTTACACTATTTAAATGTAATACATCTATAGTAATATTATGTACATTATTTACTTTTTAATTCAATAGATGACAATCAACTATATTTAAATTAAAATAGTAATAAAATTTTCAAAGCTTCATTTGCAAGGTAATTATTCACATATAACGAAGATAAAAAAATTTTGTTGATTTTTTTTTTAATTCAGTGATGTTTAATATCTCAAGGCATGAATATAGATTCCAGATAGTTTTTCATTTCATTCGTTGTCTAACTTAAACTTCTTATAGTTAAGTATAAAATGAAATACAAATTCAATAAAATTATAAAGTTAACGGGCACTAAAAAACATAAACTATCAAAGTACTATTTTGTACCACCAGTGCATAGTACTAAAAATCGAACGACCTATGTTTGACTAAAAAAATACCCAAATGACCACAAACCGGCCAACGGGCCGGATACAACACTAGTTACTTATAGTATTTGAACTCTTTCCAAGCGTTATCTTATGAAACATAATAAATAAAATATTATTGATTATCGTCTGGAAGATATGAAAATGATTACTGTTATATTTTTTTTCTTCCCTGTTATAAACTTTGTTGTCTTTTTCCAGAAACCCGTTAGCCTGCTTACTTCTGGGATTCTGGCGATGGCTTTATCATGTCTAATCTTCTTAGCCATCCTAATTTGCATGCAAAGAGAAGTCTCGCCTTCCATCAAGCATATGCACAAGTGGTGTTTACAAGAGATCTTTGTCCTTAGTGTTGTGTTCATCCTTATGACGATGAGTATGGGTTCAAGTTCCTTGGTAGAGGAAGAACAATATATTTGGCATTTTGTTACAATGACATCATGCCTGTTACTACTCCGAAAATTAGTGGGATCTCTTCATGTGGTAAGTGTTTAATGTTCGCTTACATTGCAAAAGCACAGCTAAAGAAGGTTTCAAGTTTGCTCCATGTTTATGCTTCTTTTCTTTGAGAGAATATTGAGAGGCTGGCATCAAGGTTGTGCTAACTCGACTCATCTTCCAGACATTTCTAAGTGGCTTGAAAAATGGGGAAGTGGAAGTATAAGGTCGATAAAGCAAATTGATAAACCTAGGCAGTGGTGAAATTTTGAAAGAGTGAAGGGAAAACTATATTAAGAATATCTTATTTTGAGACCTCCATTAAGAACTCGAGTCTTATTGATTTTTATGGTACGAAGGTATACCTGGAATGGGGCACGGGGTCTTTAGGAAAACGTTAAAAGAACAACAAAAGCTAAGTATGGGAATGATATTGGAGTGAAGGAAACAGCGGTACTAGGAGAGTAATAGAAGAGAAGAAGGTAAAGAATAGAGGAAATCGTGAGACAATTCGAAAAACAACGTCAAAGAATGGGCAGAAGTAAGCAAAACATGACTCCTTGGAGATGAAGAGGGCGTCAAAATCAAATTGCGGGAAAGATAAACAATCTCGCAGAGCCAGCCTAAAATGAATTAAGTCAGGGACATGATATTTTAAGACTCATACTTAACCTTTGTGCAAAAGTTTCCCGGCGTCTATGGCTATTGTCATCTCGAGAACCACCTTTGGATCAGCAACCTTCAACTAGCGGCCGCAAAAGTTGACAGAAGTAGAGGTTCCAATACGAGCGACAATATTCAATAGATGCTCTTACAAAATATACTAACAAGCATTGTCCTTTCCTTTCTAAAATAATAGTAAGCCTCTGGTGGTGAAAGGAAGCATAACATGAACCAGAAACAACAGACCTATGCTGTCTTCCTAGTCCATGAGTTGGACGCTACAATATTTAGCAAATGAGACACGGAAAGTAGGATAAGTGAAGAAATATTTAGCCGTCCAGGACGTCAGACATAAGACAAGGAAACCAAAGTCACCAGGAGGGAAAACAAGCAGCAATAGTTGACCCGCAACATGGCGCCCACCACCAACGAAGCTTCCATCACCACATCTGTTGTTATAAAAAGTTATCAATACCAACATTAGTGGCAGGATTGAGGAACAACCACTCCAACAGAGCATGCCAAGCCAATAATAGATGATTCAACCCGAAGCGGGGTAAGATTACAGCCTGGTTGGAGAACATGACAGCTCCAGGATGTGATAACAACAAATTGGCTGACTAACCATGTCTTTCTTCGGATGCCAGGTAACTAACTTTCCACTCCCAACAACAAGATTGATTGGTGCAGGTACCAAATTCATCAACATTCAAGTGGTACGATAATGATAATGAGAATGCATGTACTTGACCAGTAAGTAAGAGGTTAGTTACCTAGAGGAAGAAGGCATCAATAAGGAAGGGATTGACAACGCCCTCCATTGAATAGCAACGCGTTTCGAGATTTTCAACTTCCAAGAATTCGTCTTCGCCTTTTCCTTCCTTCTTATCTTCACGGCACAGGTAAGGCTTCCTGTCTGTTGATTCCACGACCACCATTGGAGATAACAAAGAAACTCTGAAAACTGACTTTTTTAATGATACGGCGACCACCGAGACATACACAACACAAAATATGTTGCTCAAATGCCCATCCTCCTGCTCATCGTCCTCCAATAGTTCAATCACTTTGATCTCCTCAAAAGGATAATATTCATCTGGGAATGGATTAGGTAGCCATTGTATATCGGACATAACGCCCTCATCATTGACCACTGTGGCAAACACGCGATCATCGTTATGGAGATAATCGCAACCAACGACGATGAAATAACGATCCTGGCCATGGCCGATGTCGGCTATTTTTGTCTTTTTGAGATAGGGGCCACTGCTGGTTACCATACTTGACAAGGTTGTGGCTGTTGGAAGACCCCTCAAGGGCCAGAGGTCGCCTTTGCCATAGTCCCAGAGTTGTTTCTTAACATCAAAGATATGGGTACCATAATGCGTATATATAAAGAGCCTGTGGCCGATGACACCCAACTTGTGCTTGCAGTAACAGGAATATTCGGGGGATCCTTCAGTGTAGAAGGCAGGAGGAGGAAGTGTCTCCCAATAGTAAGATCCAGAATGATGATTGAATTCTAAAACCTGGAAGGCTAAGCTGGGCTTCTCCGGCCTTCCATGCTCATTGCAGAAATGATCTCCATGAAGCACATATACTTTTCCCATGATATTTGCAACGATTGGTTGTGGCATAGGGAGAGGCAAGGCATAATCAGGGACCTCGCGGAAGCATTTGTCGGTAGGATCGAATTCATACACTTTTTCACTTGATTGAAACTGGTTGCTGCCCAAAAATGAGCTACCTGCTTCGGTAGGGTTCAAATCTGTAAATTCTCCGCCGACCATATGAACCTTCTTATTGAACTTGACGATGCCCATTCCAATAGGCAAAGCACAATCCTTGTGCAGATTCAGCTTACAAATAATGGTTGGCAAAATAACGTCGAGTTGATTAACCTTTCCAGTATCTGGATTATCCTCGAAAGCCTTAATCCCCCAAATCGATGTATTAATCAAAGACGTCAAGTAAAGGTTTTTACCTTTCCATTTGGGTTCCGCCGCCGGCTTCTTCGACTCTGATAACTCGCAACCAGCTCCGGTCATCATCACTGGCGTCATTGACCCTAATTCTCCCCCTCCGCTCATCATCGGAATTCAGCACAAGAAAGCCTTCGTTCCACTAACCTAGGGTTTGCTTTCTCTCTCCTCCCAGTGTTTGATCTCGTTTGTCTACAGTCCGAGCGAGGGGTTGTTTAGGTTTTCAAAAGGGGGTTTTGGCTGGCTGGCTGGCTAATGGGCTTGTTGGGCTTTTATATGTTGATTTGCCCAACGGGCTTGGCTAGGTAAACACAAGAAAACCTAATAGCTAACCCTATCCCACTTTAACTAGGTAAACTAATAACTTCCTCAACAAGTAACAATCTACACATACTATAATACACCGAAGGGAAAAACGGGAGCCCCATTTTAAATTTTCTGCAACGATAGTGAAAGTAGGAAGGACATTTTGGTCTTCACAATTACTTTTTTTTATTCATTAAAAAGACAGGTACTGGGATTCGAACCATGACTATTTTAAAGAAAAACAACAATCATAACCAATCACACTAAGTACATTTGTTGTATCTTTTTAAATTAAAAACATATAATAGCAGGGAGGAAAAAACTCTTCCCCAATTTCAAATTCCCTGCTCCATGAGCGTTTGTAGGAAGGATAGAATAGGGAGTGTCAATTTTTTCTCTTTCCTCTGTGGAACGGGCCAACTTACCGTACACATGCGGATTTAAACAGGTCAAAAGTGTCCATTTTTTTCTTTAAGCTCTTTTATTTCTCCATGGTGATAAAATATATATGAAAAGGCAAAAACAATACTCCTTTTTATTGCTAAAAATAAAAAATTTAACAATAAACTAATGCATGGTATCTAATGGGCTAACTGCTAACCATCTCTACACATACTATAATACACCGAAGGGAAAAACGGGAGCCCCATTTCAAATTTCCTGCAATGAGAGTGAAAGTAGGAAGGACATTTTGGTCTTCACAATTACTTTTTTTTATTCATTAAAAAGACACGTACTGGGATTCGAACCATGACCATTTTAAAGAAAAACACCAATCATAACCAATCACACTAAGTACATTTGTTGTATCTATTTAAATTAAAAATATATAATAGCAGGGAGGAAAAAACTCTTCCCCCATTTCAAATTCCCTGCTCCAGGAGCGTTTGTAGGAATGGTAGAATAGGAAATGTCAAATTTTTTTCTTTTTCCTCTGTGGAACGGGCCAACTTACCGTATACATGCGAATTTAAACGGGTCCAGGAGTGTCAATTTTTTTCTTTAACCTCTTTTATTTCTCCATGGTGATAAAATTATATGAAAAGGCAAAAACAATACTCCTTTTTTATTGCTAAAAATAAAAAAAATTAACAATAAACTAATGCATGGTATCTAATGGGCCAACTGCTAACCATAAAATAAAAGAGTTGAATGGGCCTGACCTACACGGGATTTGGCCATCAAGTAAAACAAATGAACATCATTGGTTTGTCATTCTAAAAGCGTTTGTAGGAAGGGTAGAATATGGAGTGTCAATTTTTTTCTCTTTCCTCTGTGGAACGGGCCAACTTACCGTACACATGCGGATTTAAATGGGTCCAGGAGTGTCAATTTTTTTCTTTAAGCCCTTTTATTTCTCCGTGGTGATAAAATATATATGAAAAGGCAAAAACAATACTTCTTTTTATTGCTAAAAATATAAAATTTAACAATAAACTAATGCATGGTATCTAATGGGCTAACCGCTAACCATAAAATAAAAGAGTTGAATGGGTCTGACCTACACGGGATTCGGCCATCAAGTAAAACAAATGAACATCATTGGCTAAAATATAATGTATTTTAAAGTTATTCAATGGTTCAACCTTGACCAACCCAATTAGTCCAATTTTTATCATTTCAAATATATATTATATAATTATTTGATATCATAATGATCAAATTATAGTGTATTTTACAGGGAATCGTTTGGTATTTGTTAGTAAAAAAACTAAACAGAAAGATCTATTTGGTTATTTTAAACATTAAAACGATCCTAAACATTTTCAGTTCCTTTTGAATTTCTATGGTTTTATTCCCGAATAAGTGATGTGCAAATGGCGAATTGCAGTCATCTCTTTTCTTTCACTATTTTTTATTTTCAAATAGAAAGTTTAAAAGTTGAGAATAATTAGAATTTTGCATGGGTCGGTCAAACAGGCTTAAATTCAAGTTTTGGCCCGTTTTGATCAAGTCTAATTTATAATCACATGGTTCCCTGATACTCGATAAAAATCTCAATCCAAACCAGTTTGGCAGGCGAGTCCGTGTTTACCACCATATTCTAGGGATACGACAACGGTGGTTCGTATACCAAATCGTGTTGTTCGTTCTTGATTTTCTTAGATTTTTTCCTGGCCTGACAAAAACCAGAAAGCACAATGACGACAAGATGAAAGTTTTATAAAGCAAATTAATCGGCCAACGGTCGAGTAAAAGCTAGCAACAATTGTGAGATGCTAATTTTCCGAAAACCTACGAGATAGGCGATTTTTTATTCAATTTTTTGGAATCCGGTTTCTATAAAACTTACTCCACCTCATCATATTACCAGAAACAATATTGTTTCACAAGGTAACAGATACTTGATTTTGGTTCATAAGACCAATTTTTTATTCGTTGCATCATTCATGTCTCTTTCCTGCTAAAATTCATTATTTTTATCATGTGTTTCCAAAAAAAAAAACTATACAACAATAAGATATACACCCCATTACATTATCAAATTTCATACCTCACCTTCCTCCGGCCAACTGGCCGGGGCCCATACTAGTAAACTAATACGAATAACTCTAAATAACTCAATAATTAACTAATAATATATCCCTAATAACTAAGCCCAATTCAGCCACGGGCCCCAAGGAAGTTAAAATGCACCAAACGCAGAGGAAGGCTAAATATGTTTTCTTCTTTAATCTGTCTGTTTTTTGTTATGGCTGAGAGGAAGAAGAAGTTGTGTTCTCAGCAGACCTAGGGAAGAAGAGGAAATGTTGTTCAGGAACCAGGAAGAAGAAATCAGCATAGAGTTTTTTTGGTGTTGTTTTATTTTGTGTTCTGTCTTTGAGGGGGGAGCAGAAAGAGGAAGAACGAAAAGAGAAAGAGAAGGAGAAGAAGAAGAGGGGGAGTCTGTCTTTTCTCGTGAGAAGGAAGGAGAAGTCCAGGAGGAGGGGAAGCTGTCAAGGTGTTTATTTTATACGGAATTGGCAGCTTGTTCCCCAAGAAAGCAAAAGTACCAGGTTTGGGTCGGAGCAGACCTAACCGGTTGATTGAGTTTGACTTTTGTTGACTGAATTGACCCTTTAACTTTTGGGATTTGATTCAGATTGACTTTGGGCTTTGATTTAAGCCTAAATTTATTTTATTGTTGTATTGTGTTTGTAAATTTAATGTAATAACTATTTAACAATTATTATGTAATAGCAATGTGCTTGTAAATTTATTTATGTTTGATTTAATTTCAATTAAGTTTAATACGCTGCTTATTTATTTTTCTTAATTTGACTTTTCTATAGTACGAACTCTAAGGTACAAATCTCACCAAATCCAAAGTCTTAAGAACCAATCCAAAAATCAACTCACACGATTGCTAAATCGTTTAACTTGTCAAACCAAGGCAAAATATCTTAACTCTAATTACCAATTGTATCGATCGAGATTTGCTATTGCTAAATCTCGTCATGTTATGGCAAACACATCCCATATTAAACACTAAGCTTCAATCTCATTCAAGATTTGCTATTGCAAACTTTCAATAGAAACCAAATTTTATTTAATTATAGATGTTTTAACCCGGACAAAAGTGGTGTCTACAATGGTCAACCGTATATTTGTTAGTTTTGATTGTTTGTCCAGAAAGTCGATCTTCGCTTTGTTTGTAAGTGGTGGGGCTAGAAAAATTTATGAAATATCTGCAAGATCCAGTTGAAGACTTGTTTTATGTTGTTACTAAAGAGAAGGCTGGAGACACGAAATGAGACAAATAAGAGAAGTAATTTTTTTTTTGTATATGCATATAGTACAAAGGAAGATTTCATAAATTGAAGTTCTTTTTATACCGTTTTTGTTGCGGTTTGCTCGTTCTTGACTTTGTAGAAGAAAACTGATATTCGGCTTTAATATATCGGATTCTTGGACTTTATGTGATTATCTCATGGTATGTTTTAGCCAATTGGTGCTATTTTAGGGCTCGCTAACCCGAGAATGGTTGAAAAACCATTACTGCCTAGTAACATGAGTTTGATATGATACAGATGGAGAAAGCACGAAAAAAGGAGCGAGTGCACAAGCAATAAATCGGGCTCGAATTACTGGTGGACTACTCACTTGGGCTCAAGGCCCAGAGGAATTGGCTGGAGGAGGAGATTTTGGGTCGGAGCAGGGAATTAAGGGAGGAAGGAAATTAATTTGGGCCGGGGACTCTCTTTTGGTTTTTGGGCGGAACAATTGGTCCCGGGAATTGTTGGAAAATTCTCGCCAGTGGGACAAGGAATAATTAGAGGAAGGGAATTATACTGGGACGGAAATTCTGAAAAAAAAAAGAGGTGGCGGCCAGAGAATTACACAGGGGGCCATTATTTTGAATTACTTGGACACGGAAAGCTGGGGAAAGAAGGAGTCTGGGGGAATCTCTTTTGGGCGATCGAGCGCAGGCAGCAAGAGCAAACGCGAGCGGCGATCGGCAATTGGCGATCAGTTTTCCAGGCGGCTTGAGCTGAGTTCAACGAGAGCGATTAGTAGGTTGGATTTTCTGAACCAAATTAGTTGTTTATTGTTGATTTAGAACATGATGATCAAAACCCTATTGTTTTATCTTAATTTCGTCATGAACTAAACCCCGATTTCTGGAGGAAACACCATAGGATGTAGCTATTTCTTGATTTGATGGATTGATTTATAATTCTTTTCTTCCAATCTCTATTGCATGGAATTGCTTAATGCTTTGTGTTGACTGACCACCAATACATTGATTTGTAGTTAATTAGGTTATTAGCGACAGTGAAACCCTAATAACTGAACATATCTCATGTGACATAGTAACTTATCGAAGCGACAGTGGATTAAATAAGGTGTTATGCGGTCTTAAATAGGATATCGATCTTCAGACTGTATAGTTAATTCATTGAGCTACGACAGTAGGATATGAATTGATTATTTAGTACGTAGTAATTC